TGGAAATTATCAAAAATTTCGGTCAAAAATGGGAGCCGAAGAAAAAACCAATAGTGTTTCTGAGAGAGCAGAAGACGGGCTATCTCCCCATGCATTCATTTATCTCGATTTCGAAATTTTTGACGAAAACTGACTTTTTTGAGGGGGTGGAGGGCCTGAAGGAATCTTGCTGAATGATGGAGAATCGAATGTAGAAGGAACAACATCCTTCCCAAAATTGTAATTAAATGATCCTGCAATATATCCACTAGAAAATGTTTAGGACAATTTTTCAAATATATTTTATTATTATATATCTTATTATCGATTTACCTGAAGGAATCTTGCTGAATGATGGAGAATCGAATAAATTAGGTTTGTATGCTTCGAACCGGCCTGTGGAAGGACCAAAATTGTATTGACCTGAAGTTCGAAAGAGGAGATGACTGCGATGTGGACGAGGAAGAGAAAACAGACACGAATGATTTAGGTAAATTGATAAACAGAAAATCTTATCGAACGGCCGGAATAGATGTGTGACAGTTCATCATTTAAATGCCTTAGTATCTATTTACCTGAAGGAATCTTGCTGAATGATGGAGAACTGAATAAATTAGGTTTATATGATTCGAAGCGGCCTGTAGAAGGGGGGCCAAAATTGTTGAAACCTCCGAAGCTCGATGACCCTATCAACGAGAGAAAACAGCAGATTCAAATTTCTCAAATAAATCGTTTGATATCTTACATTGACTTTGAACTAGCGGTGTTACCACACACAATGACAACACAAGTAGAATTGCATACATTTTTCAGACTATAGTCGCAATGGAAAAGCTCAATCAGCTGTAGGAAATCCGTGTGTTCTTGGTTTGGAAAATGATAAGAATACGAGATTATATGGAATGTCAGCACCACGAAAATTGAATAACCCTACATAAAAAAGAAAAAAACCGAAGAGAACATCATTTCATGAAATGAGTCAATCGGGTAAAAATTTAATTCCTATTGATCAAAATTTAATTGATTTAATTTAGGAAGAACGACCAAAATTACCACAGGAACCTATTTGGGAATACGATGTTAAATTTGCTGGTAGTTAATACGACTCTAATAAAAAATTGTAAATATCGTTCTCGTTCTTTACAGGTTCAACAACAGCCGAAAAATTATCAAAAGTTCGTGAAAAACTAAAAGAATATCAAGTTCAACATTTAATTGTTCATCGGACAGATGATGTTGTGTGTATGGATACCGTGACTCAATTTCATGAAATGATGTTCTCTTCGGGTTTTTTCTTTTCTATGTAGGGTTATTCAATCTTCGTGGTGCTGACATTCCATATAATCCCGTATTCTTATCATTTGCCCTTGTTGGACATTATTATGTCTAGTAAACTCGATTTTAATCTATTTTTAGGCAATGATGTTTTCTAGACTCTCTTATTATTTAGATTATTTTGCGATTTAAATAAATTATCCGGTGATATTCGAAAAAATCTTACATCACAACAAGTTACCTTGTTTGATTATGATGAATTCTTTCCAACACTATTACATCAAGCTAAACAATTAAAAATAGAAGAAAATAAATTTTGTGTAAAATAAATTATAATCAACTATTTTCAATTACATGGTGTATATGTCGGAGTTGGCTCTAAAATTCGAAAGTCAACTAGTTCAGATTGAAATGTAGAAATATAAAATTGACTGACACGAAGTATATCCTATTTTTAATCAAAGAGATCAAGGTTAATAGTAAAGAAACAGAACTTCATACGCTTATGTGTCCCGATGTCTTATATCCAACGGTAAAAACCGCAGATCTCTATCAGCTTTCGTTTAAAAGTAGCATTCGTTAAAAGCATTCGCCTCAGGCCTCTCTTAATAAAATTCCGATAATAGGTCTTACGTTCGAATCTCAGTTGAGACATACATTTTCATTCCACGTGATTGCCTGTTAGATTCACTTTAGGCCGCAAAAAGTGTATTCATTATAGTTTATACTCAAGCCCTGTTTCTCTGTCTAGTGTTCACGATCAATCAATCTCCTCAAAATTTCGATATAGATCAATCGAGAATTCAGTTTTATGTAGTTTTCTGTATTTTTCGGAGCTTCGAAATGCATTTTGTTGCAAAACTAAATTATAATAAATTACCAACGTTTTTGACACTGGATTGCCATTAATAGAATTTGGAGAAAGCGGCACAAAAGAAGCTTCTTTTGTGTTATTCCATGTGTTTTTCTTTCGCTTTACATTATTCGATACATGTACACTAAATTTTCGTTTTGACACTTTGTAAAGCGTTTATTGTCTGATGATGGTAAGAGTGACCTACCGAAATATCACAATAAATTATTCTATGATTTATAATCATGTTCGTGGCAGTTTTGCACTTTCTCCATAAACTCTTACGATTTTCAACTGCTCTCTCTCACATTTTATTAATGGCAATCCAGCGTCAAAACCTGCGTCTAATGATGTATTTTTAGGCTTTGCTCAAGTTAAAACAAAAATTCGAACCTTCTCATCCGAAGTTGGACCGTTAGCTGGCCACACTCTTTAATAACTCCGTCATTTCTTAATCAAACTTCAAAATTTGTTTTTATGTGATAGAAAAACGTTTCAAGTTTTAGTCCATATATTTGGAAATTTTATTAACATTTGAAAAATTACTGTAGTGAAATTCAGATTTGTCAGTCCTCTATTCTAATAAATTTTATACTTCAAAACCATATGAATGAAATACAAATACTTTTTAGCGTTAAAATAAAGTAGATGATGTCCACTTTCACATAGCAAAATAATTATTTCTTTTCGTTTAGAAATGACCGAAAGATGTGTCTTTAGCTATGCTTATTACATACCAGCACCCTAAAAAAGCGCAAAAAAATAATAAACATGTTTTTTAACGAATAAAGTTAACGAATAAAAGAAGAAACTACAACTACAAATTCAAACAAAATAGTTCAGAATTCTGTCAGACTGTCATAGAAGCTGAAATCCCCAGATTATGCCAATATAGACTTGTTCTGATGGAACTTTAAGTTAGATAAAACATTTGAATAGGTGAGCTTATAGAGTAAGTCGAGTTCTACAAAATAAGACGTCACAAGACTATGGCAAACACTCTTTTCACTATAACGAGCTTAACAACATTAATACACTCTTCTAACTACTATTAAATACGAAAAACATATGCTTCAAGTTTTATTATTTGTTCATACTCTCACTTCTTTATAAAAAGTTTCCAAATATACAGAGCAAAACATTTCTCTATCGAACAAAAACAACTGAAATTTTCCAGTTTAGGTTATAAAGTTATAGCACTAAGTGAGGTTATCTTTCGATGACGACATTTCGACGAATTTCTCGACATGTGACCGAAAAAGAAATATCGTATCATTTTAAATATTTAATATCTACCATATACATCGTTATGTTCTACTTTGGGTGTTTAAAAAATACAAATCAAAAGAACTGAATGGTGTGGTA